AATAGGGATTGTAAAGCCCCTCCTTCAAAGGGTTGCGGATTGGATCAAATGAGTCAGTGGATGTAAAGCACTCAGAAGCCTTGCCTACAGCGCATGCCATACAAGAGTCTGCTGTGGCTGTTATGACCAAGGGCCAGTGTGGGGATCACAAGGAGATCAGACAGGTAAAGGGCATAAGCCTAAAAACATTTACTTGAAAGGAGCCAGCCTGAGGGTTTCCTCCCCTTTCTGCACATGGACAAGCCTCTGAGTGATGGGTTCCAGCAGAAAAGCCGAGTGGGTATGTAGGAGTCCAGTGGCCTACTGCCCCAGTCAGGGTAGCAGGAGGCTTTGGATGGGGGTTGGTGGAGACAGAGGAGGAGGAAGCCGTCTGGTGGCTTGTGGGAGGCTGCCCACACAGGACAATGGCATCTTTGAGATGGCCCAGGGAGGTGGAAGGAGACGGAACGGCAAGGTTTGCCTGACTTTGGTCCCCTTTATTCTAGGACAACCACATCGGCGCAATCTCAGCCCACGTGGATTCTCAAAGCAGAACCCCTCTTCCTGTTAGTTTCCTGCTCTACAATTCGAGAAACATCTAGACAGCCTTATCATGGAGTCATTCAAAAAACTTCGCTGCCTAGCGCTGGCAGATTTGACCTAACTGCCCTTCCCACATCCAGAAGTGGGTGGTGGCTCAGTTGATCTGGCCTGAGGTCTCAGGGTCTATAAAGATCATCAATAAGAGTTTCCAGCTGTCAAAAACCAATGGGGCTGTCTTCAGGAAGTGAGCTCCCTGTCCCTGGAGGCGTGTAAGCAGGTCCCGGGTCTGGTCCTGATGTCTGGGAGAAGCATCAAAGCTTCCCAAGCAAGGCTGCCCATCAGTGATTCAGGACCCTGCAGTGGCTTGGGTAGGTGGGGAATGGAACCAGCTTTTCAGATTGAGTCAGGGTCAGTCACCACATGCATCCCAGTGGTGGGCACCAAGGGGGATCAGAAGAGGCAAGCACCAGGCTGCCTGCCACTGTGGTGGGGCAGGCCTCACCCCAACATGAGTAGAGAGAAATGGAGGGTGGGAGTGTGGGGAAGTGGCCAAAACGAGGGGCTGCAGACAAACCCCCCCCACCTCAGAGGACCACTGAGAGGAGCAGGGCAGGGGAGTGGGGCAATGGGCACCTCTGCCCACAGCCAGAGGAGGGGGAGGGGAAACAATGGGAAGGTCCGGCCCCATCCAGGCAAGTCGGCCAGGCCTCAAATTCAGCCACCTGCTTCCTTCCAGCTCCTCTATTTTTTTGGAGTGCTTATTTTCCTCTTCTTCCTTCTCTCCTGTTTCTGTCTCTATCACACACACATACTCTATCCATATCCTACAAACTCACATCTGCATCTAGCGTGTGCCCGGCCCCCATGCAATCTCTAGGGTAATCACTATAAAAGCCTTGCACACAAGAACACGTACACAGAGAGTCCCACCACACTCACTGTTCCATTTTGTCTTCAGGGCAGGGCTTGTAACTCTAGGAAGCACCGGGAAGTTCAGCTTGTCCATCCCCCTGCCCCTGAGGTGCCACCAGACCAGAAGGCCCCACCTGTTTCCAGTGCTGACAGGGCCTCTCTGACACCTTCTCTTATCCTGACTCTGCATTAATGGTTGGCAACATTTAGTGATTTACTGAGTGCCGACGATGTGCCAGGCTCCACCCTGCCGACTTCACAGGCTGCGTCCCTTAGGAATGAGCTAGGGTGCATGTAACAGAAACTCCACACAGCGGTTTAACAAAACGTATGTGCTGCTCACTTGGCAAGAAGGCTCTACAGCGTCTCAGGGGCCCCAGGCTCCTTCCTGTCTCACTGTCCTCAGCACGTGGCTTTTGACCTCAGCGGCACAAGTTGGCTGAGGGCTGCATAAAGTCAGGAATGGCACCTGAGTCTGCCCCACTTATTTGAAGACCACCTCCATCTGGGTCCCGCACTGCCTCCAGGGTAGTGGCTCAGGCCAGCTTCTCACTGCTGTCTCCTCCATGTAGCTCACACTAGGCCGGCCCCTCAGGGGCCTAGGACTTGGAGTGGACTCACTGCCTGAGGAATGGACAGAGCCCGGAAGACTGGCTTCCAGATGCCAAGTGGCTCCCAGCAACCAGAGCCCTCTGCCAGCTCTATTGTAATCAGCTGGCAGACATGAGTACTGGCTGACAGTGATAGGGACCATGGACCAGGCACTGAGCCAACATCACCCCCAGCCTTGTGGCTGAGGCCCCACGCTGTCTCTGGGCCTGCCCCTCCACTTACAGATATATTTGCGTGTTGCACCTGTGGTCGAAATGCCCACATGCTCTGGCCAGCCCCCGGGCCACTTCCTCCAGCCTTCCTTCAGTGGCCCCTGCCCAAGTCCTATGGCCAGAGGGGCCCAGAGTACACACCCTTGGAGCACCCTGGCTCCAGGGTCCCTGCGTGGGCTGCCCTGCTCTGTCCTTCATTTGTTCAGTCACTAATGAGTGTGTTCAGGTGGGCTCTAGGCCTGCCTTGTGCACAGCCCTGGGGAGTGAACCTGGACACCAAAGCCTGGCTGTATCCCATGAGAGACATCACCACCACAGGCAGACCCTCACGATGGGTGCAAAATAGGCTAATGGGCAGTCAGGCAGGAAGGCTTCCCTTAAGTTTTGGTCTGAGCACATTATGAAGGGCAAAAAAAGGGGAAGAAAGAGCATTCCATGCTGAGAAACAGCCAAGGTGGGGCCTCTGAGGCACAGAACACTGGGACACATCTGAGGAGGCTCCAGCATTCACGTGCCAAGAGGTAAAGGCTGGTGTACGTGTGTGTGTGCACGTGTATGTTCCCAGGGCAGGCAGTGAGGCCCAGACAGGCCTCGTGCAGCCCCAACCACCTCTGGGCCTCCCCCGAGTGGGGCTTTTATCCCGCTGCAGCTCTGGGGGCGGTGCCTGCAGTGCCCCTTTAAGGTTTAAGGCATAAGCCTCTTTACTATACCTTTGATGGCCTCCCTCAGAGAGGGGTCGAGGAGCCAGCATGTTAGAGGTGGGAACGTGAAAGGAAAAACTGGTCAGCCTACTAAACCCTATGAGGCTTCACTGGGGCCCAACGAAGTGACTGACCTGCCAGGGACACACAGCTGGTCACAGGGTTGGGACCAGGGTTTGAATCGTTCTACTCCAAACCGAGCCCTGGTCTTAACCCACCGCAGGAACCCACAACCCAGAATCCCCCCCAAAACGGCCTAAATATACGTTATTTCCTCCCGAAGTCATAATTTCCAAGGTTACGGCCCAGGAAGCTGCATTTTAACACGTGCCCCAGTGGTTCCCAGACACAGCGGTCAGTTGGCGAATTCGGCCCTGCGCCTCCAGGCCCCGCAAGCCGCTGGGAGGGGCCGCGGCGTCCGGCCTCTTCCGGAAGGTCCACACGCCAGGCCGCGGCGCCCCCTCGCGGCCGCTGGGGGCGGTGGCCTGGGGCTCGGCTGGTCCAGGAAGTTCCAGCACGAGCCCTGTGTAGCCGGGCTAGGAGTGACTGGTGTGAGTCCTGCCGGGAGCTCGGAGGAGAGAGTTGACGACAAAAGTCGCCGCGCCCGGTGTCCAGACAGAACGCCACCCGCGCCCCGCGGTTGAAGCAGGGCACGGGACATGAAGACACCGCCCACCCGGCGCGCGTCATGCTGGTGCGCGTGTCCGCGACTAGCGTGCGCGGGCGCCCGGGGGTCGTGCAACCACCGTTGCTTTCCTGCTGTCGAGTGAGGCGCCTGTTATTAGAAGTCCGCGGGCCCGGAAGGAAGGGTGAGTGCGACGCCTTGAGGATAGCGCCCCGGGGTTGCAGGGCCTCACACTTAGTGTGGGGTGCCCCGCGTAGGCCTGGCTGACTGGAGCAAGGAACTACAACCCCCAAAATGCACTGCGCCGCAGGGTTGCGCGAGGCAGTGACGTAGAGGTTCTTGGCCGCTACTATTTGTCTATGGGGGTTGGGGACGTGGAGGCGAAGGTTGATGACGCGCTCTTCCTGCAGCTAGAAGGTCACTGGAGGTCAGCGGGCTCCCGTTGTCAAAGTGCCTTTTGGAACCTTCCAGTTTGATCAGTTTAAACTGTCGATTTATTTACCCTTAACTACAGATATCTGCTGAGTGTGTACCTGCTGCCTTTCAACCCCAGGCTGGCCACTGAGCCAGCTGGACGCTATTATTATTATTTAATTATTTAGTAGTCTTTATTTTGAAATAATCTCAAACTTACAGAAAACTTCAACTATTTTCTTTTTTTTTAACTTTTTAAAAAATTATTTATTTATTTATTTATTTTTCCCCAAAGCCCCAGTAGATAGTTGTACGTCATAGTTGCACATCCTTCTAGTTGCTGTATGTGGGACACGGCCTCAGCATGGCTGGACAAGCGGTGCGTTGGTGCGCGCCCGGGATCCGAACCCAGGCCACCAGTAACGCAGCGCGAGCACTTAACCGCTAAACCATGGGGCTGGCCCTCAACTATTTTCTGATAAAGAACTCCCGTATACTTCTGATAATTAAGTTAGTTGCAGCTATGATGCCCCTTGATCTCTATATTTAGAGGTACTTCAGTGTGTATTTTCTAAAAACAAGGAAATTCTCCTACATTCAAAACCAAGTAACATTGATCAAGACTGTTATCTGACTTGTAGTCCATATTTAAATGCTTCCAGTTGTCCTAATAATAATGCCCTATGTTGAAACTACCTTTTTCTTGGCCTGGGATCCCGTCCAGGGTCACACTTTGCATCCAGCTGTCCTGTTGTTTTAGTGTCCTTCAGTGTGGAGCAGCTCCCTGGCTTCCCTGACTCTTATGACTTTGACACTTTTGAAGATTCTTGGCCAGTCGTTTTGTAGAACTGGGTTTGGGGTTGTCTGAGATTTCTTCACCACTGGACTCTTATGGGCAGAGGTGGTGCTGACCAGATGCCTATTCAGAGGCTGGGAATGTGTCTTGGGTAGCCGAGGAGGACCACTGACTGGCCACGCCAGTCTCCAGACATGCTCCCAGACCCTTTCTGTGATTGCACTCATCTCACCGAGGTCTCTGGCTTCCCTGTAGCACCCACCCTGGAGCAATGGTCCACGCTTTCGTCATCCACACATTGCGGGCCCCAATGGCTGAGGAAGGTCTTTGCCGAGTGCTCTACTCCTGTGTGTTTGGTGCTGAGAATTCACCCGATGACCCACGGCCACATGGCGCTGAGAGGGACAGGCTTCTCCGCAAGGAACAGATTTTGGCTGTGGCCAGGTAACCGCCCAGCCCAGCCCCTGCCCTTCTTTGAACACATGCTAAATTGTGTTAGGTTTTCTGGGGGGCACAGAGAAACAGGAGGACTAAGAAGCAGAGAGAAAGTTTTAGAGTAGCATTTTCCAAAGAGTCTTCCACACTTGTTCACAAGTGTTACATGAAAAAGAGTTAAAGAAATAATAATGCTATTTATCATGATCATTACTATTAGCATTTATTGAGCCTGTAAGTATGTGTTAAGCATTTATGTTCTGAGCATTTCATGTATGTGAACTCATTTCATCCTTGTAACAGTCTTTTGAGGTAGGTACAGTTATTATCCTACCTTACTGATGAGTAAACTGAGGTACAGAGAGTTTAAGGAACTTACCCTGGCTAAGGTTACGTGGCTAGAAAGCGACAGAGCTGGGATTTGACTATAGGCACCAGAACCGGGTACAGATTAAACATGCATTGCAATTAGGGAGTTCTCAGGGTCTGTAGTGTGCCTTTAAGCTTTATGAATCTCTAAAGAGGAGAGAAAATATGGTACCTGGGAACTCTTTGTGCCCAGAGCCTCCCAAAAGCCTGCGATCCACAGAGCATAGTTTAGAAACGCTGTTCCAGATGGGGTGGCTGGCCTTGGACCTTCCCATCCCAGACCCAGGTAGAGCCAGCAGGGGCAAGACTCTCTTGGCACCTCTGTGTTCTGGGTGGGGGATTAACACCCAGGGGTAGCTCTGTGCCAGCTTCCTGCCATCCCCTTGTTCCTCTGGGTCTCCTCCCCCTCGTGGCACAGAAAACCAAACAGATGCCTTTAAGACTGGCTGTGCACAACCCTAATTGGAAGGTGGTTCAGGAGGGCTCATAGAGTGCTTCAAAAACCTAGATGGCCAAATGGAAAGTCTGTCTTTTTTATTTGGAGAGGGTTGCAGGATAGGACGAGAGTAGAGAGCTTGGACAGCCTGGGTTGGATGTGGCTTTCACTCCACTTCTCATTGCTTGCTTTTCTTTATGTTGAGCAGGCCTCTGTGAAGCAGGTAGCTCAGGATCTTCTTCCCCTGGTGCGTTTCCCCAGCCCAAGAAGCTGTATTCAAAACCTTCCTTCTCTTGGCCACATGGAGTGAAGTGGTTCAGGGCCTGAGGGCTGGAGCATGGATTCCCATCTGGGTTCATGCTTCCTGCTCTGTGGCTCTGGGCGGGTCACTTAGTCTCTCTGGGGCTTGGATTCTACATCTGAGATATGGGGATAATGGCAGCTCGCAGGTCCAGGCATGGTCATGAAGATGACAGAAGTCAGTGACCTGCCCGCTCTCTCCAGGCAGGTGGAGTCCATGTGCCGGCTGCAACAACAGGCGTCTGGCCGGCCCCCCATGGATCTGCAGCCCCAGTCCTCGGATGAGCCAGTGCCCCTGCATGAGGCCCCACGTGGGGCCTTCCGCCTGGCGGCAGGGGACCCTTTCCGGGAGCCGCGGACGGTGGTGTGGCTGGGCGTGCTCTCATTAGGCTTTGCCCTGGTGCTGGACGCCCATGAGAACCTACTGTTGGCCGAGGGCACGCTCCGGCTGCTGGCACGCCTCCTCCTTGACCACCTCCGGCTGCTGGCCCCTGGTGCCAGCCTCCTGCTGCGGGCTGACCGCATCGAGGGCATCCTCACCCGCTTCCTGCCCCATGGTCAGCTGCTCTTCCTCAACGACCAGTTTGTCCAGGGTCTAGGGAAGGAATTCAGTGCTGCCTGGCCCCGCTGACGCCTTACTGGGTTGGGACTTCCTGAGAAGGCAAGGAGGGAGGATGGGGATGGGGACGGACAGACACACAGCCAGGTGAAGCTTGGCGTCTTCCTTCCCAGCCTGCTCCCCACTCTGGTGTGTTGCCACACCCAGGACAAGTGGATGGGACAAACTGGCAGAAAAGGGGTCGGGCAGAGGGTGGAGGGGAGGGATCGCAGAGCATCCTGTGCCCAGAGCTGCTGTGTGACTTACTCAAACCAATGCAGTGGGCCAGCCCTGCTTGCCCTTGACCCCGCTTGCTCCCGTCCCTGCCAGCCAACCCCACACGGTCCACCAGCCGCTAGTGCTGGGGCGGTGTGGAGCAGCTGCCTGGAACTCGGCCCTCTTTCTTCTTCCAAACCTGCAGTCATCACAGAGCGAAAGGACTCTGAGATTCCATGGTGGGGGAGCCGGCCCCTGCCTTTGCACCCACTGAGGCACCATTGTCAGCAAGGATTTTGTTGGTGAAAGCCTTGCTTGGTGTCCAGCCCACCGCAGTTTACAGTGTGTCAGTCATTCAGCAGGGGGATTTTGTAGCTCCTTTTGGGCCCAGCCGTGCCCACCGGGCAGCTTCGAGATAATCATGGGCTTCCCTTGTCTGCAGGAAGAGAAGGTGCCATCAGGTGGGTGCGAGAGGTCTGGCCTGGGTGATGTTGTCTTTCCCATTTTGAATTAAAAGCTGTGTGATTTCACCTTCTGTTTCTGTGAGTGTCATTAACACACGTCTGCTTCTGTGAGTATGTGAGCCTCTCTGTGTGGCCCTGAGCCGGAGGTCTGAGCCTTTGTGGTCAAGGATGCCTCCAAGGGGCTTCTTGGGAGGTCTCCACCTCTTGTCCCTGACATCACCTCTGTCTCCTGTGCCTCCTTTGGATGGTAGCACTTGCTGCTTCTCCCAGAATGTGGCGGGTCGGTGTGGATCCCTGAGAAGCAGAGCCTAAGACAAGGACTGGGTGCACGCGGTTTGTGTGGGAGGTGATCCCAGGAAGCACTGGAAGGGGAGGCCGCCCATAAGGTGCCTTATCAAGGCCTGGTAGGGAGCTTAGCGCCTCTGGGAGCCAGTGCACAACAGTCACCTCTGAATGACCTCACTTGAGGGGTGAGGGGCTGTTGGTCTGGCGCTCCCTTCAGTCAGTGGTTGTGAGTTGCTCCCAGGGCAAATTCCCTGGCTTGTTCTGCCCCCAGAAAAAGCCCTCAGGCAGCATGGAGCTGGGCCTGCCTGCACAGTGCTCAGGCCCTAATGGGTGGGGCACCAAACTGCTGTTAGGGAGTCTGCAATCAGCAGCTCCTAGTTGTGGTTTAAAATGGTTCAATTGGAAAAAACCTCACTTTACATCTGTTTTCATGATCTGCCTGTTGCCTGTGAGGTGTGGCTTTCTGGCATGGGCTGAATAGCTTCCTTCTAGATGGACAAGGTGCAAGTGTCAGCCCCATCTCGTGCTTGCCAAGCGTCAGTTGCCCTTTGGCACCCAGGAAGGACCCACCCACACCCATTAGGAGGCAGCTCCTGTGATTGAGGTTTTGCCCTTCCAAGTCTGCAGCCAAGGCCGCCAGCCATTCCGTGTCTGCCACCACCACCGTCACCACTGGGACGAGGCCACCTTCTCCATCCTAGAGTGCCACAAATCACCCTCTGACACTGAAGACCTAAAGTAACCTCAGTCTGTGTGTGTGGCAAGCCATGCCACTAGAAATGTCCCACAGGCCCCTAGTGGGACACCCCTGCCCTATACAGTCTGCTCTCCTGGGCTGCCCCTCCCCTTGCTCCAGGCTGGTATTCCTGGGGGAGTGGCCGTATTCTTACAAGCGCAGGCTCCTCTGGCCTCTGTTGAGGGGCCCAAGCTAGGCTGGTCTGAAACCTTTCTGCCTATTTTTCAAACTGAACTTGAGGAAGAGGGTGAGACCCTGCTGCCCTGGAATCTGTGGGAAGTTGGGATTAGGCAGGGTTGGTGGCCTTGGTTCCCATCAGGTGGAGGAAACTGATGTGCAGAGAATGGCAGAGACTGGGACTCTGCCCTGGGGCTGCAGAGCCCTGGTTTCTGTTGTTCCAGATGCCCAGATAATACCCAGGTTTCCTTAACCCCACAAGCTTACCCAGTGCCCTTCCCGTGCATTCCCGCTTTGCCCCAGCACCTCTGAGCTGGGTTTCCACCACAACTTCTTATGCTTACCTCACGTGGGCCTGACACTCTGTTGGGTGCTATGCAGGGTACGAGGTGCCCCCAATGGTCTAGGAGGGACAGAGCTGGGCACAGATGCCTGCAAAGCAGCATAGGTTGAGTGTCACCGAATCGATCCAAAGTGCTTTAAATGTCTAAAGGATTTCCTCCTATGTTATCTCCTGGGAGTTTTATAGTTTTGTGTTTTACATTTAGGGCTACGATCCACTTTGATTTAATTTCTGTGAAAGGTGTAAGTTCTGTATCACATTGATTTTTTTTGCATGTGGTGTCCAGTTGTTCCAGCACCATTTGTTGAGGAGACTGTCTTTGCTCCATTGTACTGCCTTTGCTCCTTTGTCAAAGATCCGTTGACTGTTTTTATGGGGGTCTATTTCTGGGCTCTCTATTCTGTTCCATTGATCTATTTGTCTACTTTTTCACCATTTCTATACTGTCTTGATTACTGTAGCTTGATAGCAAGTCTTGAAGTTGGATAGTGTCAGTCCTCCAACTTTGTTCTCCTTCAATATTTTGTTGGCTATTCTGAGTCTTTTGCCCCTTCATATGAACTTTAGAATAAGTTTGTCAATATCCACAAAATTACTTGCTGGATTTTGACTGGAAGTACACTGAATCTATAGATCAAGTTGGGAAGAACTGACAACTTGACAATATTGAGTCTTCCTATCCATGAGAATGGAATATCGCTCCACTTATCTGGTTCTTCTTTGATTTCTTTCATCAGAGTTTTGTAGTTTTCCTCATATAGACTTGTACATATTTTGTTAGATTTATACCTAAATATTTCATTTGTAGGGGTGTTAATGTAAATGGTAATGTATTTTTAATTTCAAATTCTACTTGTTCGTTGTTGGTGTAGAGGAAACTGAATGACTTTTTAATATTAACCTTATATCCTGCAACCTTGCTATGACCGTTTATTAGTTCCAAGAGTTTTTTTGTTGATTCTTTCAGATTTTCTACATAGACAGTCATGGCATCTGTGAACAGACACAGTTTTATTTCTTCTTTCCCAATCTGTATAACTTTTATTTCCTTATCTTGTCCTAATTGCATCAACTAGGACTTTCAGTACAATGTTAAAAAGGAGTTGTGAGGGGCCGGCCTGGTGGCGCAAACGGTTAAGTGTGCGCGTTCCGCTGCGGTGGCCCGGGGTTCGCCAGTTTGGATCCTGGGCGCGCACCGACGCACTACTTGGCAAGCCATGCTGTGGCAGCGTCCCATATAAAGTGGAGGAAGATGGGCACAGATAGAAACAATAGACTGTCTTTTATCTCTCAAGTGTGGTACGCCCAGGACCACATGTCCCTTTCCCAGACGATAAGCTGCTTGTTACAGCAGAGGAAGCAATCATGTCGCTTTGCAAGTCTCCTGCTACAAGGCCCCCTGTGTTCAGAAGTTATGCTGGCTTGCTTTCTACATCGCTGTTAGTGAATACGAATGATCTTTCCCCTCTGTTCTGAAAGAGGTTCGAGTTATGATTGGGTAGTACCACAGTCCTACGATTTCTGGCCCCAGGAAAGGTGAGTAAAAAAGTGGTCAGAACTCCTCCTCTCATTGGCCTGGCAGTGGTCAGAATGACAGCTTCTATGTCCACCCCAATTATACAAGCCATGCCAGCTCAAGGGCCCAGAAGTCTTTGGACCAGCTAAGACTCCACCTTAAACAAGAGCCAAGAGCAGAGCGTTTACTCTCTGGACATTGCTTGGGGTTGATACTTGATCAGAAGTAAAAGGGCATTAAGGGGCCGGCCCCGTGGCTTGGCGGTTAAGTGCACACACTCCGCTACTGGCACCCAGGTTTGGATCCCGGGCACGCACTGACGCACCGCTTGTCTGGCCATGCTGAGGCAGTGTCCCACATACAGCAACTAGAAGGATGTGCAACTATGACATACAACTATCTACTGGGGCTTTGGGGAAAAAAAGGGAAAGAAAAGGAGGAGGATTTGCAATAGATGTTAGCTCAGGGCCGGTCTTCCTCAGCAAAAAGAGAAGGATTGGCATGGATGTTAGCTAAGGGCTGATCTTCCTCACACACACACACAAAAAAAGGCATTAAAACCCTTTGACAGGTCGGTCTCTGGCTCATGTGGTCCTGTAACATCCATGTGATGAAAACGAAGTCAGTCCTGGCCCACAGTGGAGGCTTCCCTGACTGGGAGAGGCCCTACGATGTAGGTGGCTGATAGCAAAAGTGATGAGCAAAAATCAGCAACTTTCCTATGTCCATGAATGATGAGTTAGTAAATATAAGGAAAGACAAGATCCCAGTCAGGATAAAGACAACAAATGTAAAATGCCTAGGATCAGACATAATTAGAAATACATCAGGTCAATACAAAGACGACCATGAACTAAACTGAGGTGCTAAAACCAGTGGGTGAAAGGTTGATGAGGAACAGGATTTTTACATAGCCTCAAAGTACCCCTCCATGAATTACTTATTAACTAAAAATGGGAGATAGTAAATCTACTGTGGAGAAAACTGGAGGGCACCCCTTTACCAAATGATCAAAGTGAACATCCCCAGTAATGGGACAGACAGACAGCTTGTGCCTCCTGATGTGCAAGAAGGACAGGACATCACTTCTGAGTGTCAAAAGTGCTTAACTTAACAAAAAATCAGGAGAAAACCACAGACAAACACAAGTAGAGGGAAATTCTGTCCTGTACTCTTCAAACATACCAAGGCAGTGAAAGGCTGAGGAACTGTGTCAGATTAAAGGAACGTGACAACTCAAGGTGCTGTGTGATCACAGGTTGGATCCTGAATCCAGAAAAAATAACTGTTATTGTCAGGGCCTTATTGGGACAATGATGGGACCTGGAAGCCACAGGCCTTCAAGGGATCTATGGGTAGAATTCAGGGGGATTCTGCCAACTTGGGGAAAAAAAATTGCATCTTTTTCACGTCACTAACTGAAATTAACATTTCCCTCTTTTTGTTTTTTTTTGGAAAATGTTTACAGTTTTATGAGGTACAGTTGGCATACAATGAGCTACTGTAAGGATAAATAAAATGATTTTTTTAAATTTAATAAGGGGGGTAGCTGCTTCTCCCCTCACCTTAGGATGTCTCCTTAAAAACATCATCGGCCCGGGCCGGCCCTGTGGCTTGGTGGTTAAGTGCGCGCGCTGCGATGCTGGCAGCCCGGGTTCGGATCCCGGGTGCGCATCGAGGCACCACTTCTCTGTCCATCCTGAGGCCGAGTCCCACATACAGCAACTAGAAGGGTGTACAGCTATGACATACAACTATCTACTGGGGCTTTGGGGGCAAAAAATAAAATAAATAAAATCTTTAAAAAAAAAAAAAAAAACATCATAGGCCCGACTGTGACTGTTTGGTCAGAAAATTGAAAAACGCAGTTTCCAGATTTCACAATGCAAGCCTTCCCACCTTAGAACTCTGCTGCTGAACCTCTGAAATTAACCCAGGAGTCTCCTGTGAGGTGGACGGGAGACTGTCGCACAGTTCTTTCCTTTGTCTCCCAGGGAGATGAGAGAAGT